ACTGCCCCCACCTCGCCCTGCCGTGCTGCTCCGCCTCTGCTCGGCGTCGTCCCGCACTCCGCAGGTGCTCCGCCGCGTTGCTCATAGCCTACTCTGCCATGCTGCTCTCAGCCTGCTCTGCCTCCACTCGGCGTCGTCCCGTCCTCCGCGGGCGGTGGCTGATCCCCTGCTCGTTGGGGCTCCGTGCCCCGTCTCTCTCCCTTCAGCCGCCACGCTACCTCGGCGTGGCCGCCATTTGTTTCTCCCGTCCGGCGTGCCCCGCCCCCGCCGTTCCGCCGCAGCCAGATAAACGCCCGGCTGACGACCCTCGCCAGCGCTGCCGGCGCATGGGGTTTTCTCGGCTCCTCCAGCCCTGCGGGAGGTAAGCAGACCCCTTGGCCGCCGCGGGGGTCTCCCAGTGCCCCCGCTCCCCTGGGACATTACTATTTATAACCGCAATCTGTTAAGCACTCTCCATGAATATAGGCTTGAATCAAAACCTCAAAACAAGTTACAGTCTAAGCTATCTGAGGCCTGGTATGCACCGAAAGTTTAACTAAGATGTTAATTTACACTGAATTAAAGCCATGCACAGTTCTGTGAAGATTCTGATATCAGATAAAACTTGATTTATAACGTTTTAGCTTGTGTCAGTAGATTTACAGAGAAAAAATGCTAAAATGGTATAAGTTGTTTTATATAGAAATCCACGCACAAAATTAGTACTGGTTTAACTAAACCAATGCAAATTTTGTACCTAGACAAATTTTTACAGGTTACATCTATATGAGATGTATACTGCACAATAGCCTATACATCTACATATGCACCCATATTAGGTTGGAATAAACTAATTTACTCCACAGCAGAATAGTACTTGTAAATACAAGTACTATCCTACTGTAGAGTATTTTACTCAGCAGCAGCGCACATGTAGATGCTGCCTTGGCTTGCTGGAGCACGAGGGTGCATGAGCTGCCTGCCAGCTAGCCCCGCACTGAAGCACCCTGGTGTCCTAGCCAGCCCCTCTGCAGCTCACTGAGTTGGGGGAAAGGGGGGAAGC